AAGTGAGAGCAGTCTGAGAGTCACAGCTTCACAAAGAAAAAATAAGATACAAAACAGAAGACAACATTGAAAGTCACCAGGAGCCTGGATAGTTCAGTGCAACCCAGGATTCTGAAAACAAGAAATGCATGCAGAAGTGGGAAAGGAGTTAAACTGAAATATAAGGTAAGGAAAACGGAAAAAAGAAAAAAGAAAAGATTTATGTGCCCAGAAAATAAGTGAGGGTCAATACAGGCTAGCTTGAAATGAAATCCAAATAAATAGAGAGATCCTTTGGCCTGAGATGCTTAACCTGGTTAATATACTGAACTGTTCAAATACATGAAAGTAAACAGAGAAACTAAGTTATGATGTAAGGTAAAGAGAGTCACCCCAAAAGCAATGGAACAAGCAACTATGGGACTGAAATCTCTGAAACCACAAGCCAAATAAACCTTCCCATCTTTTATGTTGATTATCTTAGTTTTTTTGTCATGCTCATGGTTGCACAAGTTTGTCTATGGTCATGTGGCCCTGTTCCTTTGGGCCTGTGGGGCACAGTATATCCTGGCAGAAGCTGCACACCTCAGCGCAGCCAGGAAGCAAAGAGAGAGGAAGAGGTGGAGCTCCAATATCCTCTTCAAGGAGACACCTACAGTGGGCAGACTTCCTCCCACCAAACCACACCTCTTAAAGGTCCCATCACCAATTAGTAGTGCAGCAGGCTGGGACCGGACCAAGCCTTTAAAACACAGGCCTTTGGGGGGTAGTCAAGGGCCAAATGATAGCACTGACTATCACACATCTTTCAGGTTGTATCTGAGCAGAACATGGAAGAATATATGGATTGAGTCAAATAAAGATCAGAGTAAGGGGGTTCCAGGTACGCACAGGAGAAGCTGGGTAAATTATGGCACTATTCTAATATTTGAGGTGGAGAGAACAGAATCAAGTATCTATTCTGGATATGTTACCTTTGAAATAACTATTAAATACCTAAGTGGAAATGTCAAGGAGGTAACTGTCAATCCAAGTCCAGAGCACAGAAGAGCACTCTGAACCACAGACGTTAATTTCGAAGTCATTAGCATTTGAGTGATAATTAATCTTATTGGACTGGATGTGGTGGGATGAGCAGATAGAGAGCAAGAACAAGTATTGAGCCCGGAGGCACTCCAGCAGTTAGAAGTCAGAAAAAGCAGCAGCCAAAAACAGAAAATGAGAAAGAATCAGTGAGGTATATGGAAGTCCAGAGAAATGTGGAACCCTGGAGGCCATGTGAAGCATTGAAGGAGATGTAATTTAGAGAAAAATCAGATACAACTTTATAGTCAATTTTATATTTACCAGTGAAAATCTGTTATGTTTAAAAGTAGCAGGAATATATACTAATTAGGGGGTGCTAGAATGCAGGGGTTTTTAGAAAGAAGATGGAAAGGGTGAAAGAGGAGACTAAGAAGCCCAAATCCATTCACCTGGGAGGGCTCTAATCTCGGAGAGTAATTTTACCCCCTTTTATTTTATTGAGTGTGACTGTAAAAAAAAAATTCTTTGAAAGTACACAGGATACTTTTTAAATAATTTTTGTTCTCATGATTCTACCACCCAACAGTATCATTTAATATTGCTGATTTTTTTCCAGAATTTGTTGATATAATACATAGACCATTAGCTCAACATGGAGACTGTGGAGATCAAATCCCTGGTTTTAAGTGATCTTCATTTACTGCTCTGAGTCCTTAACCTACGACTGTCTCTAGTTCAGTTGCTAAGGTGTAATATGAGAATAGCAGCAAAACCTACCCCCAGGATTTCTGTAAATATTAAATAAGATAACTCACAGAATGCTTAGAAGAGTACGTGATCTGAAGAGAATATTACATATGCTATTATCTAGTTGTAAACACATAACCATAATGAACTTTTTTTTGTATTAAATTCTTTTATTGGTACATTGTAGGTATACAACACAATTACATTTCTCATTGGGAACTCATATCTTTACATGATGCATCTTGGTTCTTATTTGTTCCCCATTCCTAGCCCTCCCTTCACCCCCTCCACCCTTCCCTATTTACAAAGACTTTATTTCCATTTTTTCCATTTCTCATCATTTTTCCTTTCCCTTCTTTCCTTTCCCCTGCCCCTCCCACTACCCCTACCCCTTTGGACCTTTTCTTCCTATTTTACATTATTGATTATTCATTCTAATCATTGGTACATTTTAGGTATACAATATAATGACATTCGTCATTGGAAATTTGCACCTTTACATAGTCTTAGTTCTTATTTTTCACCCTTGCCCAGCCCTCCCCTTCAACCCCTCCAGTCCTCCCTATTTACAAAGATTTTGTTCCTATTTTTCCATTTTCTCATATTAATCCCATTCCCTTCTATCCTTTCCTCTAGCCCTCCCACTTCCTTCCCCTTTGCCCCTTTTCTTCTCACAGTCTTACTTTCCTGCTAGTTCTTTCCATTTCATGTTATATCCTAATCAACTCCCCATCACACTAATCATTTTTAAAGGCCACACGGAAAACAAATTATACTTCACTCATTTCCCTGTTTTAACACTGTGAATTCCAAATTTCTGCTATTTAATTGATAAACATCACAGTTCTACATGTTCTGTAATATACTCATACATTTGTGCACCATATGCGTGTGTGTCCTAAGAAAGAAGCACACTGTAAGAGTGGCTGAACACAGATTTGAAGCAAATTGCCTGGAGTTTACGTTCCTTCTTGCCAGTTTACCAGGGCAGCAGGCTTATGCTTCCTGTGGCAGGTTCCTCATATGCATAAGGTTAGGTAAGTAATGCCACTTACCTCAAAGGCCATAAGGACTGAGTTAATAGATTGCCAGTGCTGAGAGCAATGCTTGTCAAGAAGTATTTAATAAATGTCAACCATTCGTTTATTTTGAAATATCTCTCAAGTATAATTATTAGCTCAAAAGTTATACTCATTAGGATGACCACTACCAGAAAAGCCCAGAAAATAACAAGTGTTGGGAAGGATGGCGCAAACCCTTGTGCACTGCTGGTGAGATTGTAAAATGGTGCAGCTGCTGTGCAGAAGAGTATGGAGTTTCATCAAACACTTAAAATAGAATCACCATATGACCCAGCAATCCCACTTCTGGGTATATATCCTAAAGAACTGAAAGCAGGATCTCAAGGACATATTTGCACATACGTATCTACTGAAGCACTAGTTACAGCAGCCAAGAGGAAGCAGACCAAATGTTTCCAACGACAGATGAATGGATTAAAAAGATGGTGTTGACACATAATGAAATATTATTCAGCCCTTAAACATAAGGAAATCCTGCCACATGTTACCACATGAAGCTTGAGGGACTTACACTGAGTGAAATAAGCCAGTCAAAACAAGGACAAGTACTAAATGATTCCAATTATATGAACTTTCTAGGGTGGTCACAATCATGGAAACAAAAAGTAGAATGCTGGTGGCTGGGAACTAGAGGGAAGGACATGGGAAGCTGATGAGCAGAGAGTCTTCACTTCTATTAGACTATGCATGCAATTACTGGTGAGTATACCAAATATGAATACTTACTTATTTCTGGTTTAAAGACTTTATAGGGTTTTTTTGGCATCATCCTTGATTCTGCATCACATAAAGATTCATGTGCTATTTTGTTTCACCATAAAAATACATGCAATATAAATAGGAAAAACAATGTTCTCTAAAGAATAAGTCTATTTGCTTTTATCAGGTAAGAATCATACATCTACATTTCCCTTTTCTTTCACAGCTACTCAGAAGTAACTTAATGGTTAATTACTGTAACTATTATTAGTCCAGGTTTGGAATAAATATACTTTTATTCCTCCCTCCATAAAACTTCTGCCATTATTCTATCTTAATGTGTTCTAAATGTTTTATTATAAGGAAATTCAGCTGGAAATCCGTAGAACATAAGATGTATATCAATAGAATTCTACTGCCCTCTTTGTTTCAACAGTAAATGTGTCAAGAAAGATATTTTAACCAAGGAAAATTTTTGTCCAGTTGTAAAACATACAGAAAAAATTGTTAAAACTCATTATGCTGTACTAACATGGTGTATAAATCAATACCAAAAGCCATTTTATGAAGTTAAATAATTATTCTTCATAAAGCCCTATTAGATTAAAAGAATGAACAAAGTTTCCCAAATTTAAACATTGTACTAATTAGTGAAATACTGATATGACCATTAAAATAATAAGGATATCCCCTTTCACCACTGTCATTCAACATTGTTTTGAATGGTGTACCTAACATTTTTTAAATTTAAAAACAAACAGTATTGAAAGACAAACATTTACATATTCATTTACATAAACATGTTAAAAGTAAACTGAGAAGTTTATAATTGCTTCTTGGCCTTTTGGCTAAGATTAAGTGGAGAAGTTTATGATATTAACTTGTGAAACATGCAATTAATCTAGCCTTTTAAAGATTGTATCCAAAAGACTTAGTCTACCTAGAGACATGTTTGTTTCAGGTATTAGAAACAGAATTAACAGTATTATTTTGCAGTAGAAATAAAAGTTTTCAGAAATGCTCTTTCTTTTATTGCTCAAATTCTATTCTGTTCTTGTATATAAAAGAGTTATCTACATGTTATGAAGCATTTAGAGGAGTTACTCCATAAATGCCAATTAGAGAACTGATTTGGCCTTAACCCATTTTTCCTATGTGTAAAATAATTAGCAACTACAAGGTAAAATTGCTTTTAAAAAATAGTAGCAAGAAAAAGAATGATTTTCTAATATAAATATATTTTCCATTGTACGAAACTCACATAATCATATAGTTTCATTTTTGTTTCAAATGAGTTACTTAACTTTGGCTGCTAGTTTGAATTATTGAAAACATTTAATTTTTCTTAATGGAAAAAGTCCAATTAAGCAGTAAAAATTTCCAAAAACCCTTGGAAAATCTGTCACCTATAAACCAACTTGGTAAAGATGTAAATAAGCTGAAGAAAAAGAAGAAAAGGTCCAAGCATGGTTAACACAGATTTAATTTTAAAAAGTCAAAGTATAAAGGAGGTCGACATTTGCTCACATTTATTTCAAGAAATACTTATCACAAGCAGAACTCTACTGCCCTCTTTTGTCTCAAGAGTGTAACACAACAGAAGTGCCAGAACAGGTGTCTACCAGCAAGCACTAAAAGACAAAGGTGTAAGGTTGTGTTCTGGAATAGCAGCAAACTACTAGGGCAGAGGACACTTGCTTAAGTGACTTTTACTATCTGTTGTCTCAAATTTTGTTCACTGAATAAAGATTTACTGACTGTAAAAATGTTTTGATTATTGCTGAAAATACATCACAGAGAACAGAGCAAGTCAAAGTCATAAATTTAGAACTTTTTATGATTCTAATTTAGTGAGCCTAAGAAGTAGAAATCTAAAAATTATCAGATTTAACTTTGGCTGCACAACCTATCCTGCTTGCAAATGCAAGAATGTCTAAAACCAGCAAAAATAAAACAATTTAGGACTTTGTTGTCTTAGCCTCATAGCCATGTGATTGAAGCAGTCTTGTTAAGTGATCTAAAAACAAATTATGGATTCTCTTTGCTTAGCATTAAACTGCATCCAAATTTTCTCTAACAATTCCACTTTAAGTACTCAATCTTATAGTTGAGGTTTCTTTTTTTATAGGGAAAATACATATAGCCTTGGTTTTCTGATATCTATTGCCTTGGAACTTTCCTTTCTACCCCACGAATAAACAGAAAGTAGAGGGATAAAGAGGTTCTACTTCTATTGCAGAAATGCAATTAGTTATTTTTGCCAGTTGTACCCACCCACCATCTCAAATGAAGACATACTGTTTACATTTTCCAACAACTACAACCACCACCACCAATATTTATCCACATCAACTTATGATTTGGGGAATGAAGACAGGGATATTCTCTTAGCACCAACCTATGATTCCATGATTGCTGAAATTCTCCAATGGAAAAAAGAAGCTATAAATTGCTTTTATGACAGTGAAATTAATCTTTAACTGGACAGCCAAATGATAATGACCTTTTCTTTCACAATTTTAATATGTATTTTTCATAAAAAACACATTTCTCATTCATTTAACCAATTCATCCAAAGGAAAAAAGGAAAACACTGTAATTGCAAGTATCCTCACAATAACTTTTTATGAGATATACAAGAACAACATTTCAGCAACTTCCATAAAAATCTGGTATAAAAGTTAAAACATTTTAGAAATGATAAAATCAGTTTACCTAACTTACATTCCTTCAAAGACACATTTGCACGTCTTATCGTGGTTTGTAAACCAAATACAAAGTCTTTTTCCCTCTGAAATCCATATCAACTGATCACATTAGTTAAACTGCAGAAAGTTTCATCAGGATGCATTTCGATAAAAGCCATAAACACAAAAGCAGACAAACCTGGCATTTGGTATCGTGTACATGGCACATTTAGAAGGACCTGTTAATAAATTCCTGGAACATATCCATAAAATTCTAGGCACCTTTGCACATGCTGCACCTACGATGCTCACAGCATTCATGCAGAAGGAAAGACAACAATGTTCCCATGTTACTCAACAGAAAACTAAGGCAACTCATTGAAGATCATGTAGTCTGATCAGTAGCACAACACATTAACAATGGACCAGGATATAGGATAGGGCCTGTTATTGCTACTGATTTACCTCCCTAACTGCACTACGACATGATTCAGAGCATCAAAACAAGTATGAATTATTTTTGCCTGGAAAACAGACCACCAATCAGCATGGGTAACTTGCAAAGCATTCACAGTAAAACACTGGGATAAAGAGGGGAGCTGACTGAAGAGAGGGGAAGAGTGATCTGAAAGACTGTAATATGGCAAAGTTCTACAAAAACCTAGAATAAACTAGAACAAACTGAAAAATCATTCTAATTAGGAAGCCAATTTTCAGACCAACTGGAGTTGGTGCAGAAATAAAAAGGCAGGAAATTTTTCATCTTAATAACTCAGCGTTTGGCATATGTCCATGTAAATAACTCTGAAATTTCTTTGAGGTAGACAAATGTTAGGAATGAATTTATTTCATGCTTTAAAAGAAATGGAAGAGGGGCTCTATTTCTAAGACTATCTTTAAAAAGTTTTTACTTATTTTTTAAAACTCCTTTCAGTAAAGTGCTTAGATGTCAGCCATTTTATTGCATATTTAAAGGCTGACGTGAAGATCTTACAGCTAAAGAACCAATGTCAAGTTGGACTTTAATAAAAAAGGCCGGAACGCACATCAAAGTTCACAGCAAGTTTATAACTTTCTAGAACTTCTCTACTAGGCCCACACTGTTTCCTCTCGAGACTGTACTTCCTCTGTAGTCTCCATGAATCTCAGTCAGATCTGGTGCTCTTCCTTCAAAGTCCCACCAAAAGTATGTGTTGCTGTCACTGCTGACTGCTGCCCTGTGTCTCCCCTCTGGACTCTAAGCTACTCAGGGTCTTCAGGAATGTAAGATTCCCTTTGTAGCTTCAGTACCTACCACTCTACAAGCATGCACATGATTCACTGTCCCGTCTTCCTCACAATCTCCCAGCCAGCCCGTATTATGTGTGTTCAACCAACTGGAGGTTTATAGTTAGCTCTTCACATGACATTCAATGAATTATCCTAGGACTCATTTTTATTCCTATTGTTTACCCAGGAAGAGTTAATCTACCTGGGCAAGTAACTAGGTTACAATCTTGGTTCCTCTTTCTGATCTCATTAAATTACATTTCTTTCATTAAAACATCCTTATAGACTTAGAACATAAAACTAAGTCCCCATGAGTGGCAACAAAATGTGACATATAATGACTTATTGACAGATATTTTTGTTATTAAATCAGATAAAAATAAAATTTTGCTTGAACCCCATTTTTAAACAATTAACAAATCTGAGAATTTGAACTGACACATGGAATACCTCCAAGAAAAAAACACTATGTACTGAATGGAGGAACATAGCTATTAAAAGGGACATATTTTTGTACTTGTTTGGCCCCAATTTCTGCTACATAGATTGCTCCAGTCTTTCTGTTAACTTCCAGGAGATGTGGCAGAACCTGATCTGGTAGCTGGATGGTACTGATCACAGAACAGTCGCCAATGCTTCCCACTGGGGGTGCTGCCACAACCAACAGCCTGCTACGATTCAGCTGCGCCACGATCAAGTACTTCTCATCAGGAGTAAATCTAAGGGGAAAGACAGTTTACACCACAAATTCATCACAAATGTTTACTTTCTCAGCATTTTCATTCCCTGGAGTCCTGAACAATAGTAGGTAACTATCTCTGAATGATTCCTTTAATGAGAACTTAAATTTTATCTAATTCTGTTGAGAGAAGCAAGAGATCTGTGATGGTACAGACAGAGATTAGTTTAAATTTAAAAACAAAAATTATCAATATGACAGTATTAAACAAAATTAAAGAACTCGAAACTACAGACTCAAACTATTATTTTCCTCATTTAAAAATTTTCCTTTTGTTTAAAAGTTTGCCAAAGGCTACAGGAGACACCTGTAGCATATCTTTATTATCTCTGATATTGGCATTCCACAGAGCACTAGGCGTTTAATTGCTTTCCATTTATATGGGATTCAAAACTCCAAGATATCACTTTTCTCTACACATACTTGTTTCAATCCATTTCCGCCTGGTTTTTCTTTTGTGATGATACTGAGGATTGCACCCAGGGCCTTGCACATGGTAGGCAGGCACTGTACCACTGAGCTATATCTCCAGACACTCTGCTTAAAATTTACAGTGAACATGATAAACCTTCACCTAAATCAGAGGAAACCTTAATGAGAGGAAGTAACATAAATCAACTAAGATAAGCATTTCAAAATAAAAAGAAAAAATAATCACCTGACTGAAGAAGGTCCTTCTTCTGTGAAACAGTTATTCCATGCGCCTAACCACTCCCCAGTGTCTTTACTGAACACTTGGATTCTTTTATTCCCTCGGTCAGCAACCCACACCTGAGAAACCAAAAGCATATCAACTGTGAAAAGAGTCACTGCATGAGAAGAAGGAAAAATAAGTGCTTACTTTTATTAGTCTTAAAAGACCCCAAAGACCAAATACCATAAATACCATTTTCAGCTGAGAAAAGACTAAAATTCAGAAAGGTTAAATGACTTGTCTGAACTGCACTTACAAGAAACAGGCCCACAATCTAATGGCTATCTGTCTTAATGTGCTCTCTATTGTATTAGACATGTGATTAACTAAAACAACTAAAAAAACTTGTGTAGTCCACAGTAATGCAGAGGATTAATAGATAGTAAAAAGCAACAGTGAGCCTTCTTCGTTCCTCTAGCAAGGTTCATCTTCACTGAGCACCACCAGCCTGTCAGTTCCTGGGCCAGGCAACAAGAGAAAAAAAGCAGCCTTGCTCCTTAGGAACTCAGCAAGGGAAGTATTTATTTACTCTTGTATCATTAAACCTATGCTATGTCTAAAGTGCTGAACCATTAAATAAGACAAAGGCTGGGAGATTTTAGTAACACATAAAGTATGATAACAGGTTTCATTTGGCTTTATCATATGGTGTAATGAGTTAAGAAATTGTTGGTATAAAAGAGAAAGTCCGGTTCATTCTAAAAGAATGTGTATTGCGTATTGTGTGCAATTTAATGGCATACACAAAGTGAAATGGTTTTTCATGACATGTACCTAGGGCTAGAGAGGCAGAAAAAATGAAATGGAGGAGAAAGGCAAAGCCTGCTGATCTCTACATCCCTCTTCAAGCTCTTTGGATTTCTTGGGTTTGTGGATTCCGGGACAATTTCTTCAGGGTAATCCTAACTCTATCAATGTGTGTGAATTTGGTGGCCATTGACTTCCTTTCCAAACAGAAATAAAGACTCATTATACCATTTCATAGAGAATCTGATGCCTAAGTAAATAATTTCTCAAGGTCTTTTCCTGATCTATGATTCTTTAGTAAAGATGAGTTTCCTTAAATATTTTGTCTCAGACAAATGACCAAAGAGGAAATAAAGTTTGCACCCTAGAACTGACTGATACTATATAGCAGTGATGGCAAACGTTTAAAGTGCTCAATGATACAAACAGCCTGCTGTAGCATGCTTGCTACAGGTTCACCACCACAGCTATATAAGTTATCAGTAGTGTCTTTTCTACTTAATACTCAACAAATTTTGATCATAGGAAATCCTATTTAAGAAATGAGTCTTTAAAAGGAATGAAATTTTCATATAGGGTTGTGGTGATGACTTAATAAGTTAAATCATTTAAAATGCTCCCAATAGAATTGCTGTTAGAAAAAGCACAGGCGTGTAGATCTTAACACTCATTTTTTATGACTTAGTAACACCAGAATTCTCTCAGCAAGTGACTCCAAAGCCTTTTAGGATACTGGTAAACACAGAAAGTTTGACTGGGGCTAGGTTTCTCATTCTCTGAAATTTGGACTTTTTCTTAGTCCACAAGGGAAATAATTAACCAAGTTCAGGAGGCTAATGTGTAAAAACAGAACTCTAACTTTCTAGTGCTCAATTTATACATAAAGTTCATCTGGTCAGTTAATTTCTTATGGTAGACAGGAATATTTAATGATCAAGACATTTATACTTTATTAAAAAATACCATGATTAGAAGGTTGCTTGATGGTCACAAAAGCAAAAGTGGAAATAGATTGTCTAATGTCATAAAGCAAGCAGCCTGATGTATCTATTATGAGTCCAAGATGTTTTGTCATTTAACAAATACATATGACTACTATGTGCCAGGCTGTAAGATATTAAGCAAGAGGTTCAGCATGTGCCTTTATATAGCCTACAATTAAGTGATTATAATATAGCATGACAGTTACCGTAATGGAGAATTACAGGCCACTATCAGAAAATGAGAATTTAATATAAAAATTTTTGAAGGAAATTTGGTTGTGGGAAGGTAATCTCAAAGTGGCATTTCTGCTTAGAAGGTAGGTTAAAAAAAGGTGGCAGCAGAAAGGGACAGAAAAGAGAGAATTAGATTGAAATCTGTTGGTTAAAGCTATTTCTAGGTGTGAGCTAATGAGGACAAGTTTGTCTACATGGCTCTCTTTTTCAGGGTTTCAAGATTAATCTCTAGTTCAAGCCCAGCCTGGGCAGCTGAGCAAGTTCCTGTCTCAAAGTAGAAAAAAAATAAAATAAAATAAAAGGAATGTGGGTATAACTCAGTCCAAGTACTGTGGGTTCAATCTCCAGTACTGAAAAAAAGATTAATCTCTCCCACCCCTTTTTGATCAACACATTCTTTTTTCACAAATTGAAAGCAATGAAACAGTTTTTTCCTAGTAGGAGGACAATACTTCTTTTCAGATAATTTTGTTTGGATCAATTCTTTACTCTTTCTCATCTATTTTGCTCACCGCTAAATAGCTGAGGAACCCCCTCATTACAGGAACAAAACAATTAAAGTATGTGTGCAGAGCCAGCTCCAGAGGAATTGCTCAAACCTACCTACTAACCAACACACATCCACACATGCCCAGACACACATGAATATGACAATGATCCAGACGAACATGCCCAGAGACACAGATCTAGACACACACACACACACACACACACACACACACACACACACAACCAATGTCCCACTCAATGACATTGTATTTTTACCCGACCAGCTGAATCAAGTGTAACACTGTGAGGTATATTGAATTTAGCAGGCCCTGTCCCATTTTCTCCTTGCAGCCAAAGGATCATGAAATCTACAAGCAACAAATATATATGGTCAGTGCAACATATAGAATGGCTTATACACTTGTATATTACATTTTTCAAATTGTAAAAAACTAATTATGTCTCCATTAGTTTAATTATATTTTCCTGGTTTCATGTACGCATATACCCATTTGCCTAATTCTTATACGGCTTCAGTTAACCTACTTCTTTAATTATCTCCACTTGAATTTGTTTATGATTGTTTCAAAATCATTGTTTAGGGTTTATGTCATCCTCTTCCTTAAACTGGCTCCTCTTCCCAACCTACCTGTTATTTGGTATTATCATTTCACTGAGCTTGAAAATTCACATTATGTTTTTATAGTGTGTCTCTCTTATTAACCACTCCAGAGTTTTGAACTGTGGTCCTCTGAAATATATGCCCATGTCCTAACCTCTTGTACCTGCAGATGAAATTAAATTAGGGATCTTGAGATGAGAGCATCATAAATTTAGAGTAGACCCTAAATCCCTGAAAGGGAAAGGAGTAGATCTGAGACCCAAAGACCTGGAGAAGGGGCCTAGTGAAGATCGAGACAAAGATGAGTTACCTGCCCCAAGGCAAGGCATGCCTGAGGTTAGGAGAGGCGAAGAAGAACTCTCCTCTAGTGCTACTAGCAGGAGCCTCACCTATCTTATAAATTTCAGACTTCTGGATTCTAAAAATGGCTAGAATAAATTTCTGTTGTTTAAAGCCGCTCTGTAGGAATTTTTTTTTTTTTTTTTTTTTTTTGGTACTGGGGATCGAACTCGGGACCTTTCACTTGCAAGGCAGGCTGTGGAACCGCTGAGCTAAATCCCTGGCCCATAATCTCATGATGTTTCAATAAATTTAGTATGAAAATTTTAAACAAGTTTTTCTTTTCCGGAAGTGTGTATACATTTTTGGCAGACTCTGTATATTCTAATATAATACAGTTTCTTGTAAAACCTCTATTTTTAGAAAATCACTTTTCTACTAAAAACTTCCAAGAGACTCCTTAGGCCAGTGGTGACAAACCTATGGCACACATGCTGCAACAGGCACCAGCACTGCTATAGATAAAAGTTTTTAAATCTTCAGATAAGCTTTCAAAGACATCTCAAACCTTATTTTCCACTGTTCAGAGAGTACATTTTCAGCTGCAGTCCTGCTAATGATTACCTGTAGACTTTGTAAGATAAGGCCTGCTGGAACCCTCTGCCTGTCCCCTTCTCACCAACCACCAAAACCAATTTAGTTCAAGGAGTACTTCATGAAATCAATCTTGTCCTACTTCTCCAGTCAATTTAGTTTCTCCTTCTTCTAATCACTATTTTATTTTCAAAATCATTATCATAGATTGCATTTAATTGTCTCATCCATAACAGACCTACCTCTATTGATATTATGTAAAGAGGACATAGAACAGGGCCCTACTGAAAATATGGATGGTTAATCAGCCTGTAGCATATCTGACTCTGAGATTCTAGACTCCTAACTTCTCCATTCTTAATTAGATAGGCTACCCACTTATCTCAAACTGACTATAAATTTTCAAACTCCCTCCAGTTCCTTATGGAGGAAACTCCCAGGCATTGAGGTATAAGCCATAACAGCAAAATCATTCATTATTGGCACTCCAATCCAACTATCTTCCAGTTTTCTCCTAGTAATGTGTTTTAGTCCTTTACACACAATTCATGTATACACAGTTACAGTATTATACCATGTATAAAACAAATTAAATCTAATTTATATTTTTATGATATATAAAATTTAGTTATGTACCTTGGGACAGTTTGATCAATCTGTTATTCAATCCTCCATCTCCATCCACAACATAAATATCTCCTGTGTCCTCTACGTATAATTCTGCTGGATTATCAAATTGCAGGGGATTCAAACCAGTGCCTTTTTTTCCTGCAGTACCCAAGACTTGAATAAGATCACCAAAGGAATTGTATTTCTTAACAGTATGACCATAGGCTCCTGTAAAGATAGACGAGCATATCTCACAAATAAAACCACTATATAACATTCAGTTTTCAAATAGGCGGAGAACAAAATTTTGAAAGAATTAAACAGTAGGAAAAGGATGATAAGCTCGGATAATTTATTGTTATAACTGACAAGAAACAGAACATCTTTACGATACAGCCAAATTTGTTTATGAATCAAAATCTGAGTTACTCCAAAATAAGGAGACTGTAAGTTGAAAAAATAAACAAAAAAATGTACTCATATACAAAGTTCATGGTTAACAATTTTTTGTGCAACATTTTCTTTTTTAATCTCATGATCTTGAAAAAGCATTGCTTGCAGAAGGAAATCAAGAAGCAACTATAAAAGGAACAACTTACATTCAAAACTGTTATTTCAATCATTCATATACAGATCTTAAATTTTAATACAACAAAAAACTCCATAATAAAACTTTAAAAAAATATATTGTATTTTCTGCTGGTGGAAACAAATTTAAAATTGAAACCATTAACTTTTCTCTCCTAAGAGAAAAATAACCTTTGAATTAAAATTATCTTATAAGTGAAAGAATAAAGTAGATCACTAATTAGGGAAAACTATAAAGCGGCAAAAATAAACTTGAAGGCATAAAACTAACTGATAGGTATGCAAAAGACTAACTGAATACACTAAGCTTAACAGAAACAAACTGAACCAGTTCACATTACAAGTCTATCTTGAAAAATACATGTATTATTGTATTTAATTTGGACACTTAAGCTAAAGTTTATAGCAATAGTAAGAGAAAACAGTATTATCAGAGAAAGCAAACCTCAAAGTATCTGAAGAACTGACAAAGAGCGCAGAATACTAGTCAATAATTTTTTAAAGAAAATGACTGATTTGCAGCTATATTTTCATTAATCTATTCCTTTTAAAAACGGGGAAAAGAAATGTAATCTCAACCAGATCTCTTGGTGGGAAAATAAGCTATAATGGAAAAAATGAGATTGGTTATGCTCTTTTTATTTCTGGGAATCAGGGAAGTTTTATAAAAAAGAATAACATGAACAGAATGAATTAAAGGACAAGACCTTTAGCAGTGAATTCTGGGGGGGAAAAAAGAATACAAATAGTCAAATCTCACTGTAATGTTAAACTGTGATATTCTAGATTTTTTTTCTTAGCTAGATTTTTACCATCTACAATACATCTTAAAATAAATGGTTTATCCATTATCTGAGGCCCAGAAATCTTTTGAGTTCTGAGAAGATGTGTGGTGTGGCAATGGAATGACATATAAAAACTTAGACCTTGGACTGGGGATTTAGCTCAGTGGTTCTGTTGCCTGCCTTGCAAGCACAAGGTTCCGAGTTCGATCCCCAGTACCATAAAAAAAAAAGGCCTGTTGCTGCTTCCTTCAAATATTTCCTGATAATTAAAAAAAAAAAAGGAACATAACTTGGACAAGGAACATTAGAAATACTGTATTTATGATCCTATACCTTCCTGAGTCCTTAAGGGAATGCCAGCCCTTCTCTGGTATTGCTTTGTTAGTTCACCAGCACAAATGAACTGCTTTCTCTGAAAACTTCCTCTATACCTGTCATTTCAATTGTGCTTACTTTTCAACACTGTTTACAAAAAATATTTGCTAGTGGGAAGGATTCAGACATGCTTTGTCAGTAGAATTCCAAAACCATGAGCACCAGCTTCTTTGTACTCTGGACAACAAAGCAATTATGGCTTCTTAGCACCTCTTTTGAAAGAGAGCTGGTAAAGAAAATGTGTGGAGTCTATTAATTCTCTTTAAAAGACTGCCATTTTAGGGCCAGGGATTTAGCTCAGTGGCACCACGCCTGTCTCACAAGTGCAAGGTCCTGAGTTCGATCCCCAGTACCAAAAAAAAGATTGGCATTGCCAAAGTGGTGTGGACTTAGTCTGAGAAGAGTAACTGATGGTTTTTAAAGAGGAAAGGTCCCTTATCAAGTTTAAAAGAAAGATCACAATAATTATAGCCTCCCTATTGAATTTGTTAACTCTGCAGAATACAATAAAAGATTTTGAGAAGTAAGAACATGGGCAAAATGTGATTTCTAGTAAGGTAATTTAGCAGATACAGCTACACGTACCACTTCCTACATCTGTGATCCAGATGGACTGTTCATATGGTGTGCTGGCTGCAAACATACCATGAGGTGTGTCAACTGTGTAATTCCAGGCTCGTAGGAAATATCCATCCTCTGTGAACACTAATACTTTGGGGATGTTATCCCCTCTCTGAAGGTATACAAAAATAACTGCTTAGATAGGATCAGGGTTAAGGAATGGTTTTTTCATTTTGTCAAAAAGAAATAAAATTGAAAGATTAATTGAGAAATTTAGTAATGTTTGAAAAATTAACTTCAAAACCTAGTAATATATACAGTATATCATATTCAAAATCAAAATATTTACTTGAAACCCACTCCAAAGTCTCATAAGTAGCGTAACAGAAATAGTTACTTAGTCGAGTAAAACATAAAGTCTGTAATTTCCTTTGAGTTCATTTTTTTAATTCCCATTATACTTACTTGAGCTACGTAAACCAATCCATTGAGTGAGTCAACTGCAACACAAAATGTCGTTCCAGTAAAGTATTCTGAATAATTAGGCCAACCCAAATCCAGCCGGTAAAGAAGTTTCTCCGTTCTCCAGGAAACTTGAAAAGCAAAGTTCCTTAAGACCTTAAGTAAAACCAGAAGATTAAAATTCAGTTTTCACTCTAGATAAGAAAATGGGGTTGGGTGGGTTTGAAGTTTGCCAGACTAAAATGATTCCTAAGAAATGCGCTTGTATGTATTTATTTGCCATTTGTACTTCTTCATCTGAGAAGTATATATTCATTTCAGACGCCCATTTCTGGACTGGGTCTTTAACTTAGGGGGGTATGATTTTTTTTTTAGATCTTTATATATTCTAGATATTAGACCTTTGGTTGAGGAACAGCTGGCAAAATTTTTTAAATATAGGAAAAAATGTTCAACATTACTGGTTATTCCAGTGATGCAGATTAAAACAACATTGAGATTCCATCTCACTCCAGAAAGAATGGCTGCTATCAAGAAATCAACCAATAACAAATGGTAGCAGGGCTGTGGGGCAAAAGGAACCCTTCTCCATTGTTGGTGGGAATGTAGACTGGTGCAACCACTGTGGAAATCAGTGTGAAGATTCCTCAAAAAACTAAAACTAGAGGTTCCATTTCGCACAGCTATTCCCCTTCTTGGTATCCTCCTGAAAGAACTAAAATCATCATGCCACAGCAATATATGCACACTCATGTTTACAGAAGCACAATTTGTAATAGCTAAATCTTGGAAACAGCCCCAATGTCCATTAACCGAAGAACAGATAAAAAGAAGATGTGGTTTGTTTGTTTTTTTATACAATGGACTCAGCCATAAAGGATAAACTCGAGACATTTCTAGATAAATGGATAAACCTTGAGATCATACTCTCAAGTGAAATAAATCAGACACACATGTGTAAATATCACATTGTTTCTCTGCTGCGAGAAATTAAAAGCATAAATAAGGACCAAAATATATAACTGATATTGTGAAACAGGAAGAAAATGTTCAAATGGGAAGGGGAACTAGGAAGGGGGGAGGGGGAAAGGAAGAGAAAAGAAAAAAACGAGAAAAGGAAAAAATCCAAACAAAGCTTTTGTAAATAAGGAGTGGAAGAGGAGTTGAAGGGATGGAAGGGGAATGGGGAAAAAGAAGAAGCAAGATATATCATGTACAAGTGCAAATTCCCTATGATGAATGTGATCATTATGTATATCTAAAATGTACCAATAAAAATTTAAAAATCTGAAACAGTAAAAATAGCTTCTGGTAAGCGATAAATAAAAGAAATGGGCTTACAAATCTACAGATTAAAAAGACCACAATAAAGTCTGTAAATTATTCGACAATGTAGTAAGAGTTGCTGAACAAGAGAAAATGACATCCACAGTGACACTTTTAACACTAAGAAACCAAGGGACTCCAGTGGCCCGGCCTCAAGTGCAGGTTTTCAGACGAGCTAGTGCGGGAGGGAGCCAGGACCACTATCCAACACACCAGGACTGCGGCGCCGCATCCAACAGTGCCGTCCACACCACCCGACAGTGACTTCCTCACTAAACAACTCACCCCAGAGCCACAAAATCGCGCGTGCAAAACCAGACTTGCAAGAAAAAACCCAGCGCCTGCCGCGCAGACCCAGAATCTGGCCATGACCAGACAGAGGCAAAGGAAGAGTCTACAGGTCACGGGGAACAGCTAGGCAGCCTTGGGTGCGAGCAGTTCGTCGAAGCCCCTTTCTCCTGTCCCCGCTGCCTGTGGTGTGGACAATGAGAACGCAAAGGAGTACAGAGCCAAGGAAAACTTGAGAAAACTCCGTTCCGGGTTTCGAGGGCCTTCCCGGGGCCCCGCCCCCATGTCAGGGGCGGACATGCTTACCCAGTGACCACCCTTTCCCCACCCTTCGGGGTGGTCCAAGCGCAGATTCTCGTGGCCACCAAAATAGGGGTGCCTAAAGATATGCCTCACCCATTTGCCCTTCATTCTTTTTAATTTCATGTTGAAAAATCAAAGTATAGCCCTAAAACCTGACAAATAAGATTTAATTGACACTAACAAAACGGCTTACAGGCTCTGAGAAGGTTGTAAATCATATTTAATTTCGAAACATCCAGGCATCAGCTCTAGATGCCTACGTTCCCACATCAAGACCCCGCCGCTGGCCTTCAGGAAACGCGGCCCAGACTGGCGGCGCAGAGTTGAGCTTCCTTGAGCGCGACGGGTCTTATTGATAGTCCCCAAGAGCCGGTGGGGGTTGTTGGGGCAACCCGATAGGACGCCTGGTGCGGCAGGCGCTGAGGCTTTCGCGAGTCCCCCATCGCGAGGCTGTGTCCCTCTTCGCCCGGCTCCGGGTGCTCTCGGGCCGCCGGCCTGCTCCCGGAAGACACGGAAGCTAGGTAACAAAGAGTCTGTCCCGCTGTCCGCTTCCTGGGCTGCGGGACCCAGGACTCGGGAGGAACGGCCGGGGATGCACGCCGCCCCGGCGGCCACGAGTCCTGGATCGCGGCAGTGAGGAGCGCGGCCCACGGCCGAGGCGCTGGTGCGGGCCGAGAGGCCGGCGCCTCCCTCTTCGCCGCCTGCAGGGCCCGGGGCGCAGGTGCCTCAGCTGCCCTGGACGTTTTACCCCGGAAAGTGGCTTCACCGGCTCCCGGCGGCGCCCAGCTTTCAGCTGCGCGGAACAGCGCTGAAATCTGGGTTTCTCTGCGGGACTCGGAAGACCCGGCTCTTCCCCGAGGTGTCCTGAAGCTTTGTGTGAAGAACCCTGACGGGAATGGTTTTTTGCTTTTAATAAAGTTTTTCTAAGTTTCGGATTTTAGAAAATTTTCCGGAGTTTGCAATACCCTACCTCCTCTCATTTTTCTCCTGCTCCTAGAGTGCTTTTCTTCTTCAACTATAAATATTTTTTGCTGTCAACGGAGCAGTCCAGGGATGAACATTTCATAATTGGACGTATAACTTAAACACGTGGAAACAGTCAAGATGGACAAAAAGTCCTTTGAAACCGTGCTGGATGAAATTAGAAAGGTAGTTACATTTGATTATTTAAATTCTATAATATACCACTTGCCATGGTTTAATTTTGGGGGTGCATTGTGTAAATTGCACAGAATAAAAGTCCTATCATTGCCAAGTGGGTACGAATTTTCACAAGGAGTGTAGAAGCCTGTAAATTGCGATGTTTCATGAACAGAAGTTATGTTAACACAGCTTGAGAATCAGTGCGATGTTGTGGAAATTATATTCAGTCCTTGGTTGTGAAGCAGCTTTACAGTATTTAATTTAAAACTATAATTTTGATAAATAATTGAATATTTCTGATTTTTACCTCATCTTTTATTACAGGAAAATGACCAAAAACTAGAACTTGAAAGTTTTTTTTAATACTGGTAATTATTACTATGAAGTATTTTTCACATTTAAAGATTAGCAGAATGTTTGTTGTCTTGGACAGAATTAAATTAAGTGTGACATTGTTTAAAGTCACTTTCTTAGGGATTGGCCGTCAGTATCCTAAGTTTTAAACAGTATCTTAAATTTCAAAACTTTTTCTCCTGCATTCTAAGTTTTTGCTTCTTTTCGAGGTTTTTGTGTGTATCCAGTTATGAACCAGACAACAATAGTTTTGGAGTGCAGTCTTGAGCCTAACTGTAGCTCAAGTATAAAAACAAGAGCTTACCTCTCTAGAACTGAGAGAACTTGATGCACCATAGTTATATCCTCCCCAAGTGCCTTGTTAAGGCGTGCAGGGCAGTTACTATTTCATACCTTTCTGTCTCTTGACTGACAACACAGAAATTTCTGCCATGTACTCTGGTGCTTGTTTCAGCTTATAAAGTTATTACTGAAATTGTTTCTGGACTTGCTGATTTACTTTATTTTATATAATGCTCTTTTCTCTTTCAAATGGACATGTTTGATTTTCACAACTTGAGAGAATTAGATGTTCCTTTTTGAACAATTTTCTACTTACACAAATCCAGTTTGCCCAAAGATTTGAAACAAAATACCAGTTTACTAATTGGATGGATAGAATTTGTAACGATTTGTTCAGGAGCATTTTTTTTTTAAATGCTGTTTGTAAGAAAATACTTTGTGACCTCAAGCCGATTTCTACTTTTAGATGAAACAGTGTCCGTGGGCCTGTTCTTTCCTTATCATGTATTGTAAAAATGTCTTGTAAATATTAGTGAGGGGAATAGAGATTACCCAGAGATGAAAGTTATTTTCATATAAGATGGCAACTTGGGTCCATATTGCTGGTCCGCAGTCAGTATTTGCAGGCTTTGTCAAATGCATCAACATTGTAGTAGTCTATTAAAATGGAATAAAGTAGAAGCACATGTAAAGTGGGCATTATTAACTGATTTTATCTTAATTCCTCTTAGACTGTGTAAATGTCATTTTAAACCAAAGCATCCCTTTCCCTGATTACCACTGTACTTAACCATTGTCATTAAAGCAAAAAAGCATGTAATAAGACTTTAGGAAAATAAATAAGGAAGAAAAATGGGGAAAAGGCAGTTCAATTTGCTTTTCAAAAAGGAGATAATAGCCATCAGTTAATGGGCACTTACTGTTTGCCTGGGTCCTGTTAACAACCCAGAAGATAGGTGCTTCTGATTTTACAGATGGTAGACTTAGTCTCTGTGAGGTTAATAGGCAGCTCATGGTTACCCAGCTGTTGAGTGGGGGGCCTGATAATCAGACTGAGGCAGTCTTACTCCAGAACATGATGCTGTTCTTGAGGGTACAGCTGTACCTCTCAGGCATTGGTGAAAAAAACCCAAACGTGTCAGGGCATCAGCACTGTCCAGGATTTAATTCAGCAACTCGCTTTTTACTCGCTTTTTCCAATAATGATAACCAAACCCCTTATTGTACATTGTCCGAATGCCATTTTTCCCCATTTCAGTGCAAAGCTACTGAGCATCCTGAATGTTTAGTTGATGGGTCTAAACATTTTCTCCTCGTAGAATGATACACAAGTATATGGAAAGTACTACTATTTTATAGCAAGAACAAAAGGATTAGGATTTTTGTTTTGTGGATTTTTTTTTTTTTTGACAGTTCTGGAAATGGAACCCAGGTACTCTACCACTGAGCTATGTGCCAGCCTTGGGATTAGTTTTTTATGATTAATGGCTATTCATCTATGATAACCTGGTATTTCCTCCTCTAAGGTTGACAAATAGCTTCAAGGGGAGCATGTGATATCAATTGGATCTAGATAATGTTGAATTAAAGCCACCACTTTCTCTCACTTGTAGGTTCCTTACAGAAACCTGACTTATTCAATACCTATTAGATGTCAGATCTAATATTGACTATTGTAATTCTCAGTTTCTTTTTTAGGTAGGTGGTAAATGGTATTTCCCTTTATGAATGAGGAAGCTTGAAAGGAATTCAAATGCCTCTCACAGGCCACACTGCCAGTTAGTGGCAGCCAGGGACAGTGAACTCAGGGCCCTTTAGCTCCTTGTGTTCTTATATCCCTGTGGAAGTACTGAGAGCCTCAACTAGATCTTGTCTTATTCTTCTTTCTCAGTGCATAATTGGTGCGCAGTAAATAATTCATGAGTAAGTAATATCTGATATATTTAGTCTTAATAACAATTTAGTTGGATGGGGATGTTTTGAAATTCTTATTCTTTATGTGCAATTTGTACCAGTGTTGAATCTTACTTACTTGAATTTTATTTCCTTTCTATTTTGTAGCGAGGCCCAGGGGGCACTCCTGCTCTGTCAGTGTATCCTTTACAGTGTGGAACTTGGGAGGTACAATGTCCTGTCACCACAGTGACTTCAGCTGCTTTTGCATTCCAGGGCCAAAGGAGACCTGTCACCATTGAGTTAACTGGCAGTTTTGATAGATGCATATTACTTTGCTGTTTATGTATATTAATGCTGCTTTTTTATTTTTTAGGCTGTTTTGACAGAATACAAATTAAAAGCAATTGAGTATGTGCATGGATACTTCTCTAGTGAACAGGTATTCCTTGTTATTTGTTTTTAAATAACATCTTTTTACACAAGTATTTTGGCTAATGTCTGTTTACCCTGCTGGATAAATGCAGAATTTTTAAAAATTTTTTGTTGCATTAAGGAACTTTAGATGTTTTCAGTTTGAACATACAACTACAGAATGTATAGATCAGGAATATTTTATAAACCTACCCACTTTTGCCACAATTCTTATTCTGGAATGATTTAAAAATACACTATCTAAAACAAAAAGCATTTCAAAATGTTAGTTATTCTAGGCGCAATATAAAAAATGTTTGTAATGGTAAAGTTACCTTTATTTGTATGGTATTTATAACACAATAATTGTAAAATTCACTATATTATAAAGTAAAACTTGAATAAGTGAAATATTCTTATGTGTTCTTATATGATGCTACTAAACAAAAAGTTGAATAACGGCACACACTGTCTAAAAAGTAATTTCTGTTAATGCCAGAAGATGACTAGTGTAAGTATGGTAGGTTAGTGAAAACTTTTATTCCACTTTAGGGAGGTTCAAAGTTTTAAGAAAGGAGATACGCACACACACACAATCTGGTAGAAATAGAAATGGACATCTGGAGAGCAGTTCTGGGAGTGAACAATGGATGATGCACCCATAGGTCAGGCTAGTAAATGCTCCAATTTTCATTTCTCAAGAGCTTGAAAATTTAAAAGTTTGAATAACTAACCCTGTACGAATTTTGCCTTTAAATTCTTAAAGGCTGTTTTATTATTTGTTACCTATACTGCCTTTTTAATGAGTTTTTCAGCTTTTCCACTGCTTTACCCAGTCATTTTTGTTCTTTTTTTTTTAAGTAACTGCACTTTGTTATCCACTTTCATTGATTTTTTTTTTAATTCATTAATTTTATTGGTATTTTTAGGTATACAGTATGCTTACATTCATTATTGGGAATTTGTACCTTTGCTCTTTTTAAAATTTAAGTTTTGAAGAGATAATTTCTTATAGCTAACACCTCTGCCCTCCCTCCCTTTCATTTGTGTGTCTGTATGTATGTGTGATGTTTTAGAGAAAACATCTTTCCTTGGTGGTGCATTTACTTTGCTAAAGTCCTTACAAACTTTATTAAGCCACTTCCTAATTGAGATATTCTAAATCTACTTACTATATTAAAATAAACATTGATAGTTTAATTTTTATAGTTTGTAAAACACAGTCTTTCTGTATCATAAAAATACTATTTCCATTAAGGTAAGGATAGGTACTCTTTCCAAATTAACTGGAGTACTTGTTTTTAATAGCAAACTATTAATTGTATGCTATTTGTGCATCTCTTTATAAGAAATGAAAATATTTTTACTTCACATGCCCCTCCAGTTTATATCATTGGCCTTGCTTTGTAGAATAATTGGAACCTTAGCACATTTTCAGGTACTTACAGTAAAATAGTTAACATAGATACACAGATTTCATGATTCTTCTTGCTTTTTTTTTTCTTTTGAGTATCTTTGAAGGCAGGGGTGGTAACCTGCCAAAACTTCAAAGTTAGAATCTTTTTTTTCTGGTACTAGGGCTCGAACTCGGGACCTTGTGCTTGCGAGGCAGGTGGTGGAACCACTGAGCTAAATCCTCGGCCCCTCAAAGTTAGAATCTTGATCCTTGGCTCACCTCTTACTGACTACCTCACAGTGTTTCCCCCACGCATTTCAACTCTGGTGGTAGAGGGTGGTTGTGGGAGCCAGCAAGAAACTGGGTATTTGAGCACTTAAAATGTTCCACCATGTAGAAGCTGCTTTAGTAAATCACAGTGATTCTTGTTTTTTAGGGAGTAGATCTCTGGTATGAGTGGTATAAGTAAAAGAGTAGATGTTAGTGGACCTACAGTAAATCACAAAATCACACCATTGTTAGTAATTAAAACTGTCAGTTTCCATTATACATTTTCTATTCGTAATACATTTTTATATTCCTGAGCTGTCATTTTATTTTTGTCAGCCTCCTGTTTTTACGAAGATACTCTTTTTCCTCCATTGTATATTTTCCCTTCTAGACCGGTATTATCCAAGAGAACTTTTGTAATGGCGTGTTACTTTCAGTGATTTAAATTTACATAACCACACTTGGCAACTCTGTTGGACAATGCGTCTGTACTCTGGGACCTTGCTCATCACCCATACCCAGGCTGCATGTATTGAATAGAATTCCAGAAATCTTACAGAAATGTTTGGAAGCACACTGTCAATAGAGCTAAACTAATTCTTTTCTTTCAGGTGGTTGATTTATTGAGATATTTTTCCTGGGCCGAGCCTCAATTAAAAGCAATGAAGGCATTACAGCATGTAAGTAACTTATTTTTGTTTGGAATACAGAATTTAAGTAATGTTCTCAATTTTCCGTAATTCTTCTCAAATTACAATTTGTTTGCATCAGGAAAAACTAAACAACATATATATCCATCAACAGATGAACAGATTAAAAAAACATAGTATTTACACAAAAGATAAACTTGAATTATTTGTAGGAAAATGGATGTGACTTAAGTAAGTCAGACAAACAAGCTTAAATATTACATAGTATCTCTTATATGAGAAGCCCAAATTATAAAGAGCAAAATAAAAGATAGGCAATAGGAAGTAGGGAGATCTTTCTCAAATGGAAAGGGCATTAAAAGATGGAGTGATGGGAAGGAAAGGGGATGAAAAAAAGAATGAAGATGTGTTATGCACATGTACCAACTCCATACGAGGAATATAAATATGTACTAAACATGTACTAATTTAAAAAACTATGCTGGAAAATTTTGTATTCAGTGTAAGTTGCATATACTGTATTATTAAATTCTATACCACAGTATTTTAATTGACCGATTGGAGGGAAAATATTCATTACCAAGTAAAATAAAGGAATTAAATTAAGTACTTTTATGCACTTTTATTGTTTAATATCCATCTTTATCCTCTTATACTTAGTCTAAGAAGAGTCACCAAACATTATAGTTAACAGTTCTTTTGGCCTGTACTGTCCAAGTGATTTTCAGTGTTAATGGAAATCTGTATCCGTACAGTCCATTGCAGTGGCCATGTGGCTGTCGAACATTGAACCGTGTGCTTAGTCTATCTGAGAAACTGTAGTTTTAGTTTCATTTTATTGAAATTACTTTAAATGGTCACAAGTTTCTAGTGGCTGCTGCATAGGGTAATACAGTGTAGAACTTAGATCATCAGGGTGTTTAGATCAAACAGAAGTTATCTTGCTCTAGAAGAAAATTTGCCAACAAGTACTAGGCATGGTCAGGTTTAGTTGAAGCAATTTAAAGTAGGTTCTAGATACCTAAACTGATCTATCTGCCTAACAGTGTCTGGGTCTTGTTAGTGCTTCTTTTCCTCCTATATAACAATTACTTTTTTTTGATTTACAAAAGAAGGTTCTCTGTCATGCTTTGGAGGTGAAAGCCTTTTTTCTCCTCATAGCAGAATGAGCAAAGTAGAGAGCTCTTCTATAAGATATATTGCTGAGGACTTTGCCTTTTTTTTATCAGGACAACAAATTCATGATAGCTTTGAAGACCACTTGCTTTTCTCCCTACTTTAGAATTATAATTCAGAGGTGAAAAGTTTATCACAGGGACAAGTCATTACACTGACTTGTATTAAATTCTCACCTTTTCTGACTTTCTGATTTGACTGTTTTCATACTAAAGACTATTTGGTTGTATAAGGTATAATGAACATTTCTGTAAATTAAATGATTTAAAATAGTAATTCTAAGGATTTTTACAAATATATGTAAGGAAATTCATGATTAGGTATCAGTTTAAAACTATGCAAAGGAGTACATGTTTTTATCAATTCTTTTGGTACTACGTTAATGAAAGTGCTCGAAAAACATTAAAAAAAATCTTACATTGTTGCAATGCGTGTTAACATAAGACTCTTAAGAAAGTTATGTAACAGGGAAAGCTGTTTAACTCAGTGTTTCCCTAGCTTATGTGACCAGTGGGCCCTTTCCCACGTGACCGTAGCACCATGAACCACGGTCTTTGGGGAGTGTTGATTCGTGGCACACCTACTCTCACCTAACTGGTACATATAATTTTCATCTAACTCCTTCAGCAATTTAATCTCCTGTGTGTATAAATATCACCTTTTGGAGGAAAGTACTTGTTAATGTGTTTTACTCTATAAATTAACATATTGAGAAAAATGGATTAAAAAGATCACAGGATAATTTGATCTTTATCTGAAATGTTACATTGAAAGAGCATAAGTATAATTTACATATTATTAGAACTTCCTTTTGAATGGCTGGGACTTGCTTTTGAATAAATAATTTCACCTAAAATGTATAATGTCACCTAAAATGTTTATATTAATAACATTTAAGTATATTTTTTCAAAAAGAAATATCTAGGATGAAAGCTTTGTGTTGAAAAATAAACTAATTTTTTTTTATCTTAATAGAAAATGGTGGCTGTTCACCCAGCAGAAGTGGTCAATATACTCAACTGTTTTACCTTCAGTAAAGACAAGCTAGTTGCTCTTGAACTATTAGCTTCGTAAGTATTTATTTTTTCCATTTTCTTCAAATTTGGATGCTTTTTAGCTTCCTCCTAACTCTTTGATGTGTTTTAGAATTATATAAATAGGTGGAACTCTTAATAAAATATAGTCAATGAAGAGGAGTGATGAATTCTGATTTCTTCATGTGAATAAATATCCAATGTACTTTTGTATACATGATTATAACCTATGAAATAGTGGGGCTTATGAAGATTATTTAATCTGATTTTTCTGCATTGCAGTAACTTGCTTTGTCTTTATACTCTAAAAAATTTGAAAAGCAAAATTGGTAAAGTCATAATACTTTTAAGAGTTAGACAAAAGTTCTTCTGCTTACTGACACATCTTTGGGCAAAGTATCTTTATTTTCTGAGCCATATTTCCCTCAATGGTAAAAATAAGGATAACTACTTACAAGGTTTATAATATTACTTTATAATTTCTAGTAATCAGTTAGATGAACCTCTCTTCAGTTACATTTACTATTGTTATATAAACATACTACTTAAAGTTGCTTATTAAAAGTAAGTTATCCAGGGCTGGGGATTTAGATCAGTGGTTTTGCTGCCTGCTGCGCAAGCACAAGGACCCAAGTTCGATCCCCAGTACCGAAAAAAAAAAGTTATCCCATTTTCTCCTTGTGTCATGGGAAACATTTACTCAGCTATGTTTGCATAAGCAAAAGCTGCTGACTTCTGTATATATGTCCAGGTGGTTAAGCAAAATGCTAAAATTGTGTTTCTTTGGTAGGAACATTGTTGATGTACAGAATTCTCGTCCCATTGAGGATTTATTCAGGATAAATATGTCTGAGAAGAAACGGTGCAAGAGAGTACTTGAACAGGTAATTTTCTGAAGATTGCTGTGAAAATGGCTGGTCTTTTTGAATGTTGTAAAGAAAAAAGTGCCCATCTTCCTGTGTTAGCTCTGGAGAATAATGTTGTCATGCAGGCTTAAGAGTGAAAAGCCAGTCAGCCCCTCCCCTGTACCTCATGAAGTCTTTATGTCTTGGTCCCTTGGTAGCACTTGGCCATAGTTCCAAGCCTTTGTTTTTAACTTTAAGTATTTAGAAACTTGACTTTTCAAATTTGTTAATCAGATTTATAAGAAATTACTACAGCAGAATTTCACTTTTATTGATTTAATATCTACAAAAGTGGGAATAGTAGTACTTGTCCAAACCTAGAAAACTTGATTCCTCATTTAAGGTAGTAAGCTCCTAGTATTGTGATGCCAGTAAACTGAATTAATAATTAGAAACCATGGGGAAAGGAAAGAAGGGGGAAAAAAAATAGGAGAAAAGGAAAAAAAATGGAAACAAAATCTTTGCAAATAGGGAAGGGTGGAGGGGGTGAAGGGAGGGCAGGGGAAGGGGGAAAAAATAAGAATCAAGATACTCATGTAATGGTACAAGATCTGAATGATGTATGTAAATGTATTTTATACCTAAAATGTACCAATAAACTTAATGGGGGAAAAAAAATAATTAGAAACCTGCTTGAGGGAGATGCAGGTTGGTGTCCCAGGCCTTGCAGCTCATACTACTTAGTATTCCCCACCTTCTCTAAACTCAGGGAGGGTAGGCAACTCTGGCTTAGTCCAGTGTTACTGTGGTAGAAACAAAGTCTGAGCCCGTGACGTTTTACTTGAATAATTTCCTCATTGGTTTTTTAAAATCTTCATGCCAACCAACCTATACTGCTATAGTTTTCTTCCTTATAGAGCATTCTGTTGGTGTCATTTTCCTTCTTGGAAATGTTCTGGAACTTTTATGTTCTGTGGGAAAGGTCTTTGATTAATGTAAGTTGCACAGCTTTTCCACAAAGTATACCTGAAGAGCCTTTAAAATATTCATACCTGTTAGCCTGAAAGTTCTTACCTTTTAGCCTGAAAAAATTTGTTCTGTGGAAATAAGTAGAAATATACAATTCATATTATAAGGACATTCACCTAATGTGATTTATAATAGCCAAAAGTTGAGGTGTCTTTTTAGAGTTAGGGGGCTGGATTATATAGCTCATATAATCATATGTGTTGTGAATGGATTTATAAAACTAATATAACTATATACATGTATATATACATGTAATTATATTTTTATGAATTATATTAATTATAAAACTATATATAGTTTTAAACATATCCAACGTAAATACACCTGCATAGTTTTATAATACATACAGATAGATCTGTTGGAATATTTACTTTATACAGTGATTTTCATTAATTTAATACATATTGGTTGAACACCAACTCAGTATATGTAAGGCTTCATTTCAGAAGCTTGGGATGCAGCAATAAATAGCTAGACCCAATCCCTTCCTTCACTGTCTCATAACTATGTAATATTATGTTGAACACCAGCCAAATAATTCTTGCCTATTCAGAAGGATAGCTGTTTGAACACTCTGTGGTCTGTTACTTGTATTTTTTCTCCTAAGTTGTATCTTCTTCTTTCATCCCTGTATCCTCCTTACCATCCCTGTACAATGAGTTTGGTATAGATTTGGACTCTGTTATTTCTTAGTGGTTGAAGAAAAGAAACAGAATAGACAATAAGACTTTTTTTGCACACAATTTATAGAACTTGTTATGAAGATATCTTTGTTTATAGGTCTATTAGTTGCAACATTAACAATATTGTGTTGCCTTTTTAGTAATTCCACTTAGGGTGATTTTTAAAAATTATTATTTAGGACATATAAGTGCTGACTGATATGTGAACAGACTGAATGAAATACTGTTCCTTAATTAGTGTTTTTAGCTGGGCTTCCCAATATCCTGAATACTTAACTGTTTGTTTGTTTGTTTATTACCACTGTCTTCTTTTTCACATTGCAGGCTTTCAAGGGCGGCTGCAAAGCTCCCCATGCTATGATATCTTCTTGTGGAACAATCCCTGGAAATCCGTATCCCAAAGGAAAACCTAGTCGAATAAATGGAATTTTCCCAGTAAGCACACTTTGATGACTGTATGTGAATCATCTTATGCCTAGGTGATATGTATTTTGTTTTGGTTTTTGGTTTGTTTTGGTACCAGGGTTCGAACTTGGGTCCTTATGCTAGCGAGGCAGGCGGTCAAACCACTGAGTTAAATCCCCAGCCCAGTGATATGTATTTTAAGTTAATGATATTTAAGAGAAAATACCAATTGATGATCCATCTGCAAAGGAAAAGAATTTTATGTTATCAGCATAATTCCTGGATTCACCATCAATTCAAAGTTCATGCGTAAACTTAACATTTAACATGTTTTTGTAAAATCTTCAGAACAAGCTAAACAAAATAGGATGATTTTGTTTTGTTTTCAGGTTTTGGTAAAGGAACATTTCTTAAATTCTCAGTATTTTTCAGATAGTTTCACAGTTAATATTTGAGAAACTCTGCACAGTGTCCTTCCTGAGAATCATGTTGCATAATAAAACTGCTGAGAAGTCCCTTAAAAAAGATACTTGTTTTTAATAGCATCTGGTGTTCTCAAATCACTTTATGAAATAAATTTTTTTAAAGATCCACTTTAGTTGCTGAATAACAAATAACCTAGGGGCTGTGTGGATTAAAACAGTAAAAATGTATTATCTCACTTAATTTTCATGGGTCAGGAGTCTGGGATTAGCTAGTTCTTTTGAGATAGTACATTTTTCTGAAAGCTTGATTTGGAGCTCAAGAATGTGTTTTTAAGGTAGCTCATTTACATGCCTGCCAAGTTAGTGTTGTTTTTTGGTAGGAGCCTCTTTGTTTTCGTCAGGACTTTTTCCATAGTGCTGCTTGGGTATCCTATGAACATGGCAGCTGGCTTCTCTCAGTTCAGATGATCCAAGAGAGGCCAAGTGGAAGCCTCAAGGCCTCTTATGACTTTGCATTGGAAGTCAAATGCCATCATTTGTGCAGTATTCTATAGTTACATAGGTCAGCCCTTTTCATTGGCTACACAGTTCAGCCTTATCTGTTCTGGAACAGGACTGTAGAAGAACACTAAGAGATGTGGATTAGTGGGAGGCCATCTCGTAGGTTGGTTTCCATGCTAATGTGTAGTATTTAAGGACACACACTATCCAAAACACACGCTGTTACAGTTTAATCCTTTTTCTGATTTGCTCATTATAACAGTCTTTTGTAAGGTCCCCTGCCCTTAAAAACGTGGACAGTCACACTTAATATTTTCAGAGGACACTAGTTTTTTCTCATCTGTTTTCAACTAATACTGTTGTTCTTTTTCTTTCTTTGAGCATTACATATACTGTGACATTTCAAGTCTATAGTTGGTTTCTGTTTTTTTGTGGAGGAAAACAATGAGAACATGTTTTCTCCTTCTCTTTGACATCCCCTCTGTACATTACATGTTTATTTCCAAGTAACTCTGATGGTGCCATAAGGGTTCTATGACAGGAGGTTAAGAACTTCCTTATCAGGATTGTGCAGTCAGCCAGGGCAGAACTGGGTTTGGAATCTGAGTCTTACTCCTAGCAAGTTACATCCTTTTCTTCAACATAATACAATGTGGTTATTTGCTATTTTGGTTTAGGTTGGATTTTCTTTCTCTTTTTTTGTTTTGTTTTTAAGTTGTAATTTATTTAAACTTCATTTTTAAATAGGGAACCCCTTTGAAAAAAGATGGTGAAGAATGTACCAATGAAGGCAAAGGAATAGCTGCACGGATTCTTGGACCATCCAGACCAGTATGTTTAGGAAATAAAAGATGAAAGTTTTAATTTTTAATGCAGTTTTCTGTCTACAAAGAATAAATTAAGTTTTTGTGTTGCAAAGTTTCAGTGTAGGAGAAATTCTATGGGAGAATGGCCCAGGGCAGTGACAGTGAACTTTTTAGAGCTTTCAATGATACAAATGGCCTGCTAGGCACACGTGCCATAGGTTCTCCACCACTGGCTTAGGGAAATACAGTATAATTAGTTAGCAGTGTTATGGGCCCTTTTGAGGTTACATGTTGTATATAGTGAGATCTGTCAAATTATTTTTATTCTTTTCTCTTGCCACATTCACCTGTTCAATTGAAGTATAGAGTGAGGTGTTTGCCTTAACTGAGGTTTTGTTTTGGCCAAATCAATATAAGTAAAACAAAAATAAAGCCAGGTGGTTCAAAGTCTTTTCAAGGAAGTGGCTATGATGAGGCTGTAAACTGGACCAGAGTAGACACCCCCATGTGTGAGGGATTGTTGGAGTTCAAGGACTAGAGGCCTGTGCACAGCTACCTCGCAGTCCTCGCCTGTTCACATAGAAGAATGCAGTGGCTGTTGTTTGTAAGACTTAGACAGAAACTCATCCCCTCCCACTTCTACTCCAAAGGTATGTGCTCTCTGTAGGTATATGTGCAGAGTATAATTTAGCTTCAGGTATTTCTATTTCTTACATACATACCATCAGCTATAAAATAAAGTATGTGTGGATTTGTAGATTTCAAAAGACAATAGAAAGAACTAAAATAATGGACTCCTTATGCCATTGTACTTCTGTTAGAGTTGGAATTGTCAAGTGGTAAAGCAAGCAGTGCTTTTATCTTCCGAAAAGGAAGAAAGGATGGAAATGATAGGTTGAATTCCTAGAGTTTAAGAGGATATTGCCATTGGGGTTCTCAGGTAGGCGTAGGTGAGATTCCAAAATTAGCCTATTTTTGTGTGTTACTGAGGAGGAGATAGCAATTCTTGGATTAACATCAGCGGGGTCAGAGAGAAGTTTGCTATTTAGGATAAGCTCTGACCCTTCACTGGAGATGATTGGGTACTAAAATAAAAAGTACACAGCCCTTTTTGTCAAGATCTACCTTTGGAATTTGATAGGAACCACTCTTATTAAAAGCGAAATTTCCTTCATTTGTGTCATGTCTTAGTCTAGTCGTCTTTAAGACTAAATATTTTGGTTAAGTTTTATTTTGTTTTTTTGTTTTGCCAGGAGACAACTTATTTGATTTTCTTCTAACTGCTATACCTTTCCCCCTCTTCTAGCCTCCTTCAACATACAATCCACATAAACCTGTTCCTTATCCAATACCTCCATGCCGGCCACATGCAACTATTGCACCAAGTAAGGAGTCCTTTAATTTCTACTTCTTTTTTGTCTGTTTATTAAATTGAAAGTAAGTACTAGTGTTGGTGCTTAGGAAACCTGCAGCTCTTCTAAGAGTTTGTGAGAGTTTAATTTTGCCCACAGTCAGCTTTTCGTGTCCAGCTACTAGTACCCTCTGTAGCAGTCAGTTTACTTAGGGTATTTTCCTTCTGATAAATTAATTGCACATTATTTTTATTCATTCTTTATTGTTATGGGTTTTCACTTCAGTAAATGATCCTCAAACCCTTTTTTGGTGGTTGGTGTGTAGAAGTATCATTAATGCATTTAATTTAAGTCAGGTACATATGCCTGACTGTAAGAATGGCAGATTCTTCCTGGCTTGCTAGTCAATGAGCTTATGTCTAGAAGGGCATGCAGTGAGAAGTAGGAATCACCCATTGTCTCACTGGTCTCTGTTTTCACTTAACCCTATACTCTAACTTCCATGTAAGATCTAACTTGCATATGACAGTATTAAAAATAGATTGGAATGCTACATTAATACAATTTGAACTCCTGGCCACAGAGTGATACTAAATTGTATATATTTTTTCTTTTTATTTTTACTTTAGGTGCTTACAATAATGCAGGTCTGGTACCGTTAGCCAATGTCATTGCTCCAGGTATACCCCCTCCACCTCCATATACTCCGAATCCAGTAGGAACAGGTAAAGTCATGTTATATTCAGTATTAAAATAAGTAACTTATTCATTCACAAACATCCATTTGGAGGGGCAATTGTGTAGTGTGGTGTGTTCTAACAATGGAAACACAAGTTCAAGAGTCTGACAAGTCTGAATATGAGTCCTTGGTAGCACCAGGCTGCTTTCATTATCTTGATGGGCTTCCATTTTCCCATATGTAATAGAGAGTAACAATTTTAATAATATTATCCATCTGGACATGGTGGCATATGCCTGTGGTCCCAGGTACTTGGGAGACTGAGGCATGAGGGTCACAAATTTGAGGCTGCCCTGGGCAACTTAGCAAGATCCTGTCACTTAACTAAGTAAATAGGAACACTTTCAGTTAATATTAGATGACCTTATAATGTGTTGTATGCTGGGGAATCAGGGTACACAAACAGCCCTATTTACAAAGAGTTTGCAAACTAGTGAAAAATACATGTAAGGAAAGCAAGACAATTTCAGTATATTCTACTTCATTGGTTCTAAATTATACATTTTTTTATGGTTTAATTTCCCTAAAATTGGGATGTGGTTTACAGCAAATGAATCTTAAGTTTTGAGATATAAAGAGAATGAGCAATGCGACCATGTGCATATGTGGAAACTCAAAGGAGGGGGATCCAAACTAGTCAGTCACCCTAAAATAAATGTGAACTGTATGGTATACTGCTAAAGTTTGTTGACTCAGCAGTACACCTGCCATTTAACTGAATTAAGTTGAAGAAATAGCTAAGAAGAGACTGGTAATAAAATGTTGTATGAAGCATGGCAAAGTAAGAAGGTGATTTCTTGTGGCCAGGAGCTATTGGGCATTTTTTAAAAGCATCTTCAATTCCCCACTTGAGAGATTCGGATTCAATGATTTGGGGGGAGGGCCGAGATTATCTTTATTTTTAAATGATCTCCAGGTGATTTTTATCTTCAAGCAAATCGCTTCTTGGCCTTTTGGCTAAGATTAAATGTATCTTCAGGCACGTTTGAGAAATACTGTACTCTGTACATAACCCAGAAAGCGTCAGAGTATCTGGGGGTTTTTCAGGGCTTTCTGTTAACTACCAGATTTAAGAGAGCTAAGGCACTTTATACCTCCAAGTCTTTATTGAGAATCTTCGGGCATTTAGGGCAGATGGTTATCTGACTCAGCAAGGGAACTTCAGAGAAACTAGAATTACCAGATGAATACTCAAGGGGATGAGGGTTGGGTTAGCAAAGGATTTTTTCGCCCTAAGGCAGTTTATCATGTGCATATTTGTAGGGTGTGAAGGTGGTGGGTTGAATATTCCATGCATGGCAGAAGAGGGGAGGGAGTTACAATCTAGCCTGCTGTAGCCTGAGTTCCACTGCCAGTTGACATGGTGGCCCCATTGACTTTTGAATGGCATTAAGGTTCTACTTAGGTGTCCTTGGACCACATGTGGAAACACAGGCAGGTTATAGAAAAAACAAAAAGAGCCATTTCTTACAAACAATATGACAAGTCATGAAGAAGTACAAATGCCACCAATTGGGCACCATGGGGATACGGGGCTTGTAAAAAGGTTAGAAGGGCTAATATTCCCAGCACTTCCCGTCTCATTCTTTTTCTTGATGCTCAGGCCGGCATCTTTCCAGAAAGGGGTGTTAAGCTTATGTGTAAAATTACAGTGTGTATTTAAAACCTAACAAGTTAACGGGAGGACAGCAGGATAGGACAGGGTGGAGGGAGAAGAAAGAACAATTGTTTATAATCCTCAGTGTTCATATATGTGTGATTTTTATTACAGGCATATTTTATTTTCTAACTATTTATTCATTTTGACACCTATTTCTGATTCTTAGTGTGTTAAATAATTTGATTAAAATTGAAATTAACGTTTATTTATTTACTTTTATGTAGAAAATGAAGACCTTTCCAATCAGTCAAAACCTACACAAAATCAAAGTAAGTACCAAATTTGATCCAGAGGTCACTGATATCTGTCATGGTTGTCTGCCTTGTTACTCACTGAGAACAGTGTGAGTTGAATGTGTTCAGGATGTTTTAGGAAAAGTTCTTGGATAAAGAACATAATTAAAACTTACAGTGGTTTATTAGTGCTATGTTTTATCACTATGAAATGCACATATTAACTGGATTTAAATTAATCTTACAACTTGATGTCCTATTTGCAAAACTTGCAGTGAAGTCTCAGTACTATCTGGAATCCGTGCATATTCATTTTATATTCTGATATTGGAAGCTTCATTTCTTTATATAAACACATAAACATATGGTATGGTAAAAATCCCTTTGACATATGGTAGATCAGATTCTACTTTTAGATTTATTTTTTTCAGTAAGTATTGTTAGGCATAATTTAACTTGAAAAAGAATGACAAGCACCAGAGGAGAAAGTGGAATTGGAAATGAAGTGTCACCCGGGTCTTGCCTCCAGGTGGCATCAGTGCTTAAGTATCTCATCGTCCCCTAGTTGAAGGTATGTGTGACCAGGAAGGAGGTGCCTTCTGGTATGGGACAAATACTGGCATCAGTTCTTCAATTGCAAAGTAGTACTCGAGTCTTAATTATTGTGGCACATGGTTATGAGGCTCAGTGGGAAAATTCTCCTCCCTGAGGATGGTACCTAATGAGTACTTCTGAGCTGGTTTCTAAAGGAGGTAGCATAGTTGGGTAGAAAGAACACTAAGTAAGATGTCAGGACATCTAGTTTTTTATCCTGGCTTTGTAACCACTTAGCTTTGTAACCTTGAGCAGGTCACTTAACTTCTATGAAAAGGAGATGAAGGACACTTTAATCTTCTGTTTCACTTCATTAACAATTCTATTTTGGAAAGAGGTAACCAGGTTAAATATCATAGTACCACTGGTAATAGTAGCATCCTTTGATTACCTATGCTGTGTTATTTGAGCATGATTAAGAAGTTAGTTTTTGTTTCTCCTTTTTTAACCTTATTAAGAAACTAAAACAATTGCATGGTTAAGAACATGGGTCTGACAAATCAGCATAATGAAAACCAGCAATTTAGATATTACAAGACCTGATTATACCTGTCATTGATTTTCTTTGAGATTTGTAAAATATGACAAATATTGTCGTGCATTTCTTTTGAGTTCAAATTGGACATTTTGGTGTGATGATAAATTCTTTCCCTTTTTCTCCACAGCATTTTCTACCCCAGCAAGTCAGCTCTTTTCACCTCTTGGTTCTAATCCTTCAACACCTGCTGCAACTCCTGTTCCCACTGCATCCCCAGTCAAGGCAGTAAATCACCCATCAGCATCAGCAGCTGCCACTGTTGCTGGAATGAATGTACCAAATGCTATCCTTCCTGTGTTCCCAGGGCAGGTCTCCTCAGCCATCCATACACCTCAGCCATCAATACCAAACCCAACTGTGATCAGGACCCTTTCGTTGCCTACTGCACCTGTAACTTCCATCCACAGTACAACCTCTGCTCCTGTTCCTTCCATTTTTTCTGGCCTAATGCCATTGCCAGGTCCTTCTGCTCCACCTACCCCTGCCCCTCAGGCTACGTCTATACTTCGAGCCACTCTTACTTCCAGTGAAGCATTTGCTTCCACTTCTGCCCCTTACACTAGTCACTTCTTTTCCACCAACACTACTGCTGCTTCTACCAATAACCCCAATTCCACTTCATTGTCATCAGTGTTTCCAGGTCTCCCTCTCCCCTTAACACCAACATCCCAAGGTGTATCCAATTCGACTCCTGTGATTACTGGTGGTTCTGCTCCCAGCGTTGCAGCTTCACTTGGCATAAATAATCCTCTTTTGTCTGTTTTAAAAGGCATTCTGACATCAAATGACACCAATTTAATCAATTCCTCTGTTTTGTCATCTTCTGTCACAAGTGGGCTGGCTTCATTATCCTCTCTTACTAATCAGAGAGCCTCAGCCCCTAACAAGTGCTATGCCCCATCAGCCCTTCCTGCCCCACAGAGGTCTTCTACTCCCAGGCTGGCCATGTTCCCAGGCCTGCCGTTTCCTGTGGCTTCCTCAACCGCCACTCCCCCTACACTGCCTGTGCAGTCTTCTTTGGCCACTGTTACATCCTCTTCAACATCAGTGCCAGTGAGCTGTGGCTCTTCAGCTGCCCTCTTGCATGGTCCCCACCCAGGTACTTCAGACCTGCACCTTTCATCCACCCCTGCTATGACAACTATTCCTGTTATGATCAAAACTGAACCCACAAGTCCTATTCCCTCCGCTTTTAAAGGCCCCTCTCATTCCATGAATCCCCCTCGTGGCACTTTAGGCTTGTCAGGGACTTTGGGCCGTACATACACTTCTGCATCAGTGCCCATCAGTTTGTCTACTTGCCTTAATCCTGCATTATCAGGTCTCTCCAATTTGAGTACTCCCTTAAATGGTTCAAATCCCCTTTCCTCCATTTCCCTTCCACCACATGTTTCCTCCACTCCTATCACTCCAGTATTCACTGCTCTTCCTCCTTTTACTTCTTTGACCAATAGTTTTCCTTTACCTGGGAATCCCTCTCTGAACCCATCAGTATCTCTCCCAGGGTCATTAATAATCACCTCATCTAGCGCTGCCACCTCCACAGCCATGCCTCCTCCTAGCTCGACAGCAGCTGTTCTCTCAGGGCTCTCTGCTTCAGCGCCAGTCTCGGCAGCCCCCTTCCCCCTCAACTTGTCTACTGCTGTCCCCTCACTTTTTTCAGTTACTCAAGGACCTCTGCCCTCTTCAAATCCTTCCTACCCTGGCTTTTCTGTTTCTAATACCCCCAGTGTTACCCCTGCTCTCCCTTCGTTCCCGGGACTGCAGGCGCCCTCCACAGTCACAGCTGTCACACCACTGCCTGTTGCAGCCACAGCCCCCTCACCAGCGCCTGTCCTCCCAGGATTCGCTTCAGCGTTTAGTTCTAATTTCAACTCTGCTCTTGTTGCACAAGCCGGGTATGTGAATAGTTTGCAATAGGATAAAATTATTTTTCACATAAGTTTAGCTCATTGTCTTATGTTGTTCAAATGAAAGTCAAAATGGAATTATTTGGTGGTCCTAAATTATGTTTCTTTGGACCAAAACTTTAGCTCTAAAAAATGTTTCATGGCTCTTCAATGATGATAAGATAAATATATAAATGTCAGTGCTTATTAACAATTTTAGAATTTAGTATTTGGTTTAACTGTTACTATTACAAATACTATTTTAAAATACTAAAAAGTAATACTATTAGTATTTGGTTTAACTTCCTTACAGCATAAGTTATTAGATAAACTATAGACTTACGAAATTCAGAATAATATTCAATAAAAATTGAGTGGCTGATGTTATGGTTCTTTGCAAAAAAGGAATAGATTTCTAGGATTTTTTTTAACAAAATTGTGTTATGGTAAATATGTAAGTATTACTACTAATAAAGTTTTAGGATTTCTATTTGGTGATTTGCTTATAGCAGAAAGCATTATGTAAAACATAGATTTCCTGAATTCAAAATTACTTTAATTGAAATTGAGTGGCTGGTTTACTGGTTCCTTCCAATAGAAGAATGGATTCTAAGTTTTTGTTTTGTTTTAAATGTCTTATGATACTACTTGACAAATATATAAGCAACCTGTCTTATCTGCAGTTTGACCTGTTTTTCTGTCAACTGTAGTTTATCATCTGGACTCCAAGCTGCAGGCAGCTCTGTTTTTCCAGGCCTTCTGTCCCTCCCAGGTATCCCTGGGTTTTCCCAGAATCCTTCACAGTCGTCCTTGCAAGAATTACAGCATAATGCAGCTGCACAGTCAGCGTTGTTACAGCAGGTGAGCGAGTAATATCTGGTGTAAATAAAATAATGTGTTCTGTTAGTGATACGTAGGTATCCCAACATTGTCCAAAAGTAGGTTAGTTCTTCCCAGAATTGGCAAATTATGCTTGTTTTCTTTTAAAATTGTGACAAAGGTTAGGATGAAATCATCAGTATGACTTATTTTTCTTACTTGCAAATTTTTTAAATCTCAACTTATAGATTTTACTTAAAATGTGATCTTTTCAAGACAAGTTTAACTTGTCTTCTGTTTAGGCTATAATGGACCATTAAAGGAAAATGTCACTAGAAAACCTGTTAGCTTTTATTTGCAAGAATATTAAGTATTTTAATGGCATTTCTATGACTTCTCCACCTGAAGAAGTTTTAACATGTCATTTAAAATGTAGGAGACTGGGCCGGGGATTTTAGCTTAGTGGTTTCGCCGCCTGCTGCACAAGCGCAAGGACCAAAGTTCGATCCCTGGTACCTAAAAAAAAAAAAAAAAAAAAAGTAGGAGCCGACCAGACTTTATCTTGCCAAACTTTGTTCTTTTCTTCCTTATCTGTAATATACCATAGCCAAAAAAGCAAGTCCAGAGTTGATTGAAGGAAACAGTCTGTTAAACTGTGCTTTTTTCTCTCAGGTCCATTCAGCTTCTGCTCTAGAAAGCTATCCAGCTCAGCCTGATGGCTTTCCAAGTTACCCCTCAACACCAGGAACACCATTTTCTTTGCAACCAGGCCTGTCCCAAAGTGGGTGGCAGTGAATATTTGAAAATTTTTATTCTTGGGAACAACATGAAATTTGCCTAAGAACTGCAGAGAACAATCTGACAAATGTGAAGTCAGCCAAAAATCAGAAAATGAAAATGAGGATAATCCTAGGGAAATTGTGAAAAGAAATCCTAGTTGCATTTTTTAAAAAATGGTTTTAAGTATGAATACTCTCCATTCCCTTATGTAAATATGCTGACAATAAACTGTAAGGGGAATAGTATTTAAAAAATTATTTGTGGACTTTTCACCTTCCATCCTACAAAATTTTGTATCATGTATGTGGTCTATATAGAATATTAAAAGAAAAAACGGAACTCTTTATAGCCGAATACAGCCTTAAATCTGCTTGTATAGCATCCACGGACAGAAGTAATAGTTGTGCCTCAGATTTATGGGTTGCATGTGGCCCTGGGGAGTTACAACCCTTGGTATGCATGAGTGGTTCCTGTTAGTATCAGTTGGAACTCAGTATTCCGTATGTATCCGAAGAAGGGAACTGGAGACCCACTGTTATTTTTAATTTCTAGTATTTATGATCATACATACTGCTGAATTTAACTCAATATGTTTCAGGTAAGTGGAAAGGGTGCTTAATTATGTAGTCTCTAGAATGACTTTCAGGTGTTTTCAACTAAAACTATATATCCAGAACTACTTTCTTACAGAAATACAAGGAAGGCTTATTATTTGCCTTCAAAATAACTTGCCCTAATCTCAGCAGTATCCAGATGAATGAGGAACACTTGGGCCACCTCTGTTATTCATTGTACTCTGGAAGCTCTTGGTGAATGTTTACAATCATGGGATGTAATATTTTTATTTGTATTTAAATCAAATGCTTATCTGAAGTAATTATGTGACAGCAAATAGAGAAGACTTGCTCTGTTAGTAAATAAGCAGTGCGTACTCTATTTAAGGACCTGTGGTAATATAACATGATTGAATGTCATTAACTTAAGAGTGATAACTGCCACACTAGGGTGGGGGGTTAGAAAGAAAGAATTCCAATCCTGTGATTAAAAGTGTAAACTATAGAGTCTACTGTAGTACATTTCAGCATCTAGAAGTTTTACTTTTATAAAGATGGTGTCTGGAAGATGTTGCAAATGTATTTTCCTTCAACTTTTTAAGTATATTAAATATTCCTGTATGGTTAGTTTTTAACAATTTTTTAAAATAAACTTTATGAATATGACAAATACTTTATAAGTGTTTTATTAAATGCTTAGGCTTTTTGATTTTTTTTGTATGTGCAAGAGCTAATTTATTGAATTTTTTTGTCCAAATGTTGCAGCCCTATTTTACTATTGTTTGTCCATCTTTTAATTAATATCTTGTACAAAAGTTGTATTGTAATCAACATTTGAACCAACTGATACATATCTTTACTTTTTAAATTTTTTATTAGTACATGTTACAGTACATAATGATTATATTCATCATGGGGAACTGTGACATATACATAACTCATCTTAATTTTTTTCCATTCCGTGCCCCTTTACTGCCTCCCTTTTCCTTTCATCATTTGCTCCCCTTCCCATGTACAGAAGCTTTAGCTCTATTGCTTTTTCAGTTTTTCATCTCCTTCCCATCTCTTCCTTCCCTCCTCCCTCCATCTTTTGTTCCCCTTCCCATTTGAAAAAGATCTCCCTATTTCCTATTACCTATCTTTTGTTTTCCTTTTCATTTATATCTCATATGTCTTAATTACTTCTCCCTCATTGCTGAGACAAAAATACCCTGACACCCAAAGTTAAGGAAGGAAAGGTTTATTTAGTTCACAGTTTGTAGAGGTTTCAGTCATAATGGGCTGGCTCCAAGGCAGGGTGGCATGGCAGACAGGCATTGCAAAAGAGAAACAGTTCATTGCAGGCAGCTGGTAGCAAAGCATGCAAGAGACAAGACAAGCCTCTTTCTTCCCTCAGGCTACTGGGATTAGGGTGGTGTCAAACCAATCAGTGGATTTATTTAGTAATCACCCACTCTTAATTCTAGCACCCTTAATCTTAGCATAATCAGTCATATACTCTAGATCCAGCCACCTCTGGAAAAGCTCCACCTGTAACTGCATTGAGGCTTTGTGGGGACATCTAGACACAAGCCATAGCATATAAGAAGCCATGTGATATTTAAGCTTATATGTCTGATTTATTTCACTAAATTTTATGGTCTGAAGCTACAGCCACTTTTCTGTGAATGACTCAAGTTTATCTTCCTTTATGGAGAATGTGATAAATACATTTTCTTTATTCATATGTTGATGGACATACAGGCCATTTCCAAGATTTAGCTATTATAAGTCGTTCTGCTATAAATATGGATATGCATGTATCACTCTTTTGGAAAGATACCTAGAAGGGGATGGCTGGATCAAATGGAATTTCTGGTCGTAATTTTTTGAGGAATCACCACATTGGTTACCATAGTGATTATAGTAGTTTACATTCCCACCAACAATGTAGAAGGGCTGCTTTTTCCCCCTACAGCTTCACTAGCATTTGTTATTTGATTTTTTTTTTTTTTTTTTTTTTTTTTTTTTTGGTACCAGGGATCAAACTCGGGTCCTTGCACTTGTGCAGCAGGCGGCAAAACCGCTGAGCTAAATCCCCGGCCCTTATTTGATTTCTTGATGGCTATTTTTTCTGGAATAAGATGGAATCTCAGTGTTTTAATTTGCATTTCTTGAATACCTAGCAATATGGAACATTTTTTAATATATGTATTGGCAGTTTTAATTTCTTCTGAGATGTCTATTCATTTTGGTTGCCCATTTTTTGATTGGATCTTTTATTTTAGGGGATCTTAATTTTTCGAGTTCTTTCTTTATGTATTCAAGATGTTAGGCTTTGATCCAAGGAATAGCTGGCAGTTGTTTTTCCTCATTCTGTAGGTTATCTCTTCACTCTCTGTTGCTTCCTTTGCTAGGCAGAAGCTTTTTAATGTGATATGATCCCATTTGTTGATGCTTAGTATTATTTATTGGGGTTCTGTTCAGAAAGTCCTAGCCTATACCTATGTCTTCAAGAGTTTTACCTATTTTATCTGCAAGCAGTTTAAGTATTTTCTGTTTTAACATTTAGGTCTTTGATCCATTTTGATTTTAGTTTAGCACATCGTGAGAGACAGACATAGTCTAGATTCAGTCTTCTGCATATGGATAGCCAGTTTCCCCAATACTATTTATCAAAAAGACTTATCTTTCTTCCTGTGTGTGTTTTTTACCCCTTTGTCAAAGCTGAAATAGCTGAAATGTGCCTGGGGTTGTTTCTGATTCTTCTGTACTGTTGACAAGCATGTCTTTTTTTTTTTTTTTGTCAGTTTCAAACTGTTTTAATCACTGTACCTTTGTAATACAACTTCAGATCTGGAACTGTGATTCTTCCTGCTTTGCTTTTGTTACCCAGGTCATCTTTTACTATTCTGGGACTTTCCTGGTTCAGTACGTATTTTAGGATTTTTTTTAAGACCTGTGAAGAAAGGTGTTGGTATTTTGATTACGGTTGCACTTTGGAAGTACAGTATAGACTTTTTAAAATAAACTCTAATCTTTATTTCTCTTTATGTTACTCTTGCAAATAGATGCATTATGTTTAGTTTTAAAATTCTATTCATTTATTTGTACATGTTTGTAGTACATAATATTAACATTCTTTGTGTGGTGTCAGTGCATGTACATAATGCATCTTAATTCCTTTTTTCCTTCCCCTTCCCTCCCTCACCTTTCTTGCTCCATCTCGTTTCCCTTCCCATTTGAGGAACATCTGTCTCCCTACTTCCTGTTATCTTTTATTTTACCCTTTTTTGTAATCTAGGCTTCTCATATAAGAGAAACCATGTGGTATTTAAGTTTGCATGTATGATTATTTCATTTAATATTATGGCCTCAAGGTGCATCCATTTTCCTACAAATGACTCGAGTTTATCATTTTGGCAGACATATTACAGTGATAACATGCATATCCATATTTATGCCATCATAATTCATAATAGCTAAATCTTATAAGCAGCATATATGTCCATCAATAGATGAATGGATAAAGAAATGGAGTACTCTCTGCCGCATAGTATAGCCATTTTGACTATATTGGTTCTGCCTAACAACAGGGAATCTTTCCATTTTCTGACGTCCTCTTCAATCTCCTTTTCAGAGTAGTGTAATTTTTGTTTTAGAGGTCTTTTACTTTCTTCATTAGGTTAATTCCTAAGTATTTAATTTTTCTTGATACTATTCTAAATAGTATTATTTTCATAACTTCTTTTTCTGAGTTTACTAGTGTACAGGAGCACTATCAATTCTGTGTTGATTTTGTATCTTGCTACATTGCTGAATTTGGCTATTCTAGGAGTCTTTTTGTAGAATTTTTTGGGGTCTTATATGTAGAAGGTCATGTCATCCACAAATAATGGTAATTTGACTTTGCCGTATGTATCACTTATTTCTTTCTGTTGCTTGATTGCTCTGGCTAATGTTTTAGGGACTATGTTGAACAGGAGTAGTGATAGTGGATGTGTTTGTCTTGTTCCTGATTCATAGGGAAAGCTTTCATTTTTTTTCCCCATTTAGTCTGATGTTGGCAGTAGGTTTGTCATAAATGGCTTTTATCAGATTGAGGTAAGATCCTCCTATACCTGTTTTCTTCAGGGTTTTTTTTTTTTTTTTAATCATGAATGGATGGTGAATTTTGTCAAGCTTTTTCTGCATCTATTGAGATAATCATGTGATTTTTATCCTTCTGTTTAGGTGATAGATTACATTTATTAATTTGTATATGTTAAACCATCCCTGTATCTCTGGGATAAAGTCTACTTGGTCATGATGTATGATATTTTTGATGATTTGTTTCATTGTTTCTCAGTATCTTGTTGAGGTTTTTTGCATCTATGTTCATTAAGGAGATTGGCCTGTAGTTCTCTTTTTTGGTTGGCTCCTTCTCTGGTTTTGGAATCAGAGTAATCAGAGTAATGCTACCTTTCAAGAGTGATTGAGAGTATGGGGTACTCCTTCCCTTTAGGTTTCATTAATGAGTTTGAAGAGTATTGTCATTCGGTCTTTCCTGAAGTTCTTATAGAATTGAACAG